GACATTCCTGCATCTCTTCTTCTTCTTCTTCTCTTTTCTGCTACTTCGGCTACAGTAATTTAGCTTTCAGTTGCCTTGTTCCATGATAAACGGCATAATGTAGATAGCACCTTGCATTGCTTTTTCACTTATATCAAATGGATTCATGGAGAGTTAAATTCCACAGCTGATGGATTAGCCATGTCAGGGATTGGCAGAGCTTTTTGTATAATTAAGGGCCGTTGACTGAATAAATTTTGTTGTAGTTAGGACTACCCAAATTTATGTATTCCTGAAGATCCTCTTGTACTCTAATTTTGCTAACAAGTAATACAAATGCTACAGTGACCTTTGTTAAGAGGAAAAGTGAGAAAGGGAGAGCACAGCAACACAACACACAAAATACAACATAAGTATCAAATGGATCCAACTGAAAAACAAGTAAAATAAAATACCTCTATACAAATGATGAAGTCCTGAATGCTTGATTTAGATGGAAATCCTAGGGATGAAGAGGTTTTGAATATACCAAGGGTATACAGGAGTGCAATCCCCACACCTTGCCACCAGGTCAGAAAGACAATTGACTTAAATGTCAGAAACTTGGCCAATGGCTTTATGTGTGCCAATTCATCCTTTGTAGCAGTATAGAATTGAACTAAGCAGTACAATGCCCATGATTGACTGAAATTGAGTACAACGGCCATGTAAGGATACCTGGGAAAGTAGGCTAAGACAATAAGAGATACTTTATCAAAATGAACCCTATAAAAATTTCATTATTCAGTAGTTGTTTGTTTAATGTAAATAATCAACTAAATAATAACATTCTCCGTGACATGTTACAATGACATTTAGTTTTATCAAATACCAGCATGCATTGCCTTGCATACAAAAATGTGGAGCTACCTTCTCTAATCTATGATGCCCATACAAGGAAACGGACACAAACATGGATATAGGAATGTGGAGCTACCTTCTCTAACTTTTGAAGCTATGTGTCATTTTCCAAGATTTGTCTCTTACCTTTTTTTTTTTATCAACAACTGCAACCTTCATTAATCAAGGAAGAGAAAAATTTGTAAAGGAATCAGGGTATCATAATCTCTAATTTAAAACTCAAATCATAAACTGCAACTCAGCACCATAGTTGTCAAGGCACCCACCTAGGCATTGCCTAGGCGACTAGGCGCCCTTTGGTTGGACGCCTCGCCCAAACACCTTGACTTTTAGCAACTAGGCGACTAGGCACCCGCCTAGGCGATAAAAATGACAAGGCGGGCACCTTTTATGATATCATTTATATTGCTGTGTCTTATTAATGCATGTGTTAATACATTTTATCATATGCTATATATATTGATTATACTTTGTTTTAATGTTTTACTATTGAAATTTAAAAGATCAAAGGGTTTTGAGGAGAGAAAAAGAAAGAAAGAAAGAAAAGAAAGAGGAAAGAAAGAATAGAATAATAAAGTTCTTTTTTTTTTCTATTCTCTCTAATTAAATAAAACAGAAACTCCATCCTTGTTTTTTTTTCTATTTTACTTTCCATCTT